AAATTAGTAGAGTAAAAACTACCACGGCTGAGAGAGGTAAACGACCGGCGGCATTCATTCATAAACAAATGCGGAGCCAGGTACAGCAAGTAGGTTGTCTTCCGCTTGATAGAACCTCCTCTGTATCAGCTGTGTTCTTGGGGCAGGCAGGACACATCGTCTGGCTGGTTCAAATCGATCGGTTGATTGATACGATGGTCAGCACAGAGCGCGTGAGTAGTGCTGCTGCTGTGAAACGAGTCGTTCGTCTACATCGGTGAAGGTCTATTGTTTGAAATCATCCATACCGTTCATGGCACCGCGTTTTGGTGCGTGAATGGGGATTACTACTCACGAGAGGCATTCTAGCGCTCTCAACAGCTATGTACACACACTGACCTCTCTTTGTGCAGTCGAACGACCATACGAGTGCAATGAGTAGTGAATGTCCTCGTACCGGCTGTTGTAGCAGGTGTTGTGGTCTTATTCTTTTGGTGCAAGCTCAGGATGGTAGACTGCAGAGGCCATTGTTCTATGCGTCGAGATGTCGAATGAAGCGTACCGGTCCAAGCATGATCGACAGGATGACTGCTGTACACACATGCTACAGCATAATAAGCAAAAGTCGTACCATGTATAGGTATAGCAGAAGTACACGGTTCTAGGAATGTGCACGCGTACGCAGTGAGTGTAGGTGGATAGAAGTAATATTAGCTGCTGCTGCTGGCAGCAGATAGCTGCTGTGTGCCTCTCCTTTTTTTTCAAAGACCGTCCGTCCGTCGTGTGGGTGCGACAAAAAATTCACAAGAAAAGGGGAGAGGATGGTGGGTTCAATACCACCCAGCCTAGAGTGGATCGGAGGAGCCGGTAGGAAATGCGTTCCTCCTGGACAGAAGAAAGTGGGGCCGGCGATTTCCCGTGGAAGTCGGGCGTCATCAATCAGACCAATCAGACCAATCGGTCAATCACGGGGAATTTGAATTTTTCGAGTTTTCCCGAAAAGGCGACCTCACAACCGTGGCTGACGTCATCGGTCGACCATGGAATTTTCGTCCAAAGGAAATTTCCTTTCAAAAAAATTGGCCAATCAGAAAACTGCGGGGACCTTTTCTCTGAGCAGCAGCCTACATTTTTATTAGTAGGGGTCGCCGGGTGCGGGATGTGTGTGCGTGTGAGATTGATTGGACTGGGTGGAGCAGTCGCCGTCAGGTCAAAGACTACGCCTCGGCAGCAGTGAGGCGACCACGGGTTTTTATTTCTGAGGGCTGGTTCATCATTGCCTGCCTGCCCAAAGGTTGGTCGGTTTATGATAGAGTGGAGGAGGGGGGGGGGTTGGGTAGGCCTCGGAGGCTTGGTGTGCAATATTAGGTGTGTATGGTTACTGTATGCGTACATTCAGTTTGAGGTTTTGGGGCGTTTAATTTTGTTTGTTGTTGGGCTGACTGTCGGTGTGAGTGTGATGAAATGATCGAGTGATGATCCTATTCACACGGTTATTTTGTTGTTGTCCTCCACAGGGAAGGGAGCGGAGAGGTAGCAAGGACGTTGATGAGGCCCACAGCTGCTGGTGTTGATTCCCTCACGCGAGTTGGTAGTAGAAGAATATCACGCAAAAGGGGAAAGGGCGAGATCCAAGCTGCGACGCACGGACGGTGGACGACGTATTTTTCTCTCGTCCTCGGATGCATGTGCCCTTTCTTAGATTTGGTAGATGAGCATCCATCATCCGTGCAAGGCGATGACATATGATGCGTGCTGCCTGCTGCGGATGTATGTGGTGTATTCTGTGTGGTTGAGTTGGGGTTGGTCGTGGGTGGTCATGCAACAGGCCTCTCGATCTCCTTACTGTTGTACGAACGGACGGATGTATGGTACACATTCATGTGGTCGATGGGGCATGGCCACCGCTGCGGCTATTTGATAGTGTAGTCTACAGGAGGAGAGACGGCCCCCATCTCGGAAACAAACACGTACACACAAAGCACGCGACGAGGGTTCAAATTTGTGCTCTTAGTTGCGCTGAGTTTTTTTTCGTCATATTTCAGTGGCGCTTCAGCACGCGACGACGGCGGTCTACCGACCGTTCGTATGCCATGTACTGGGCGACGTGGTGCTCTCCGCTGGACCTGCTTCTTCAAAAAAACCTGACAAACTACGATAGCGCGCACTCGAGACAAGAAAATCATGGTAGCACAACACTCTTGGTCCGCCCGTTGGTAGGTCGAAGCGTGTTGTACAGGTAATCGGAACATACGAAGTCCGAGCGGAACTTCGGATGATGTGGAATGTACAGTAGTAGTAGTCGAACCTGGTATCATCTACCATGTTCTCTTGTCCGCTTTCACCACAAACAACGCAACCGATTGCTGCGAACACACTTGCTGTAGGTCAGCGCTGAGTGAGGGCTGCGCCGCTTGTTGACAACTACAGCAGTTGTTGGCACAACATCGCCCTTCGTCTTGACAACACCTCACTCACAATACCTAGCTAGCTACGTACGTCACGAAGAGTTGCCTGCACGTCGCCTACCTCATTCTTTCGTCCTACACCCCAGACTTCCATTAGACAGAATAATGAGAACGAATGTGGCTCAAAGCTCGACGCCGCCAACGGTATGGCTCTTCGTTGTGTTGATCCCTTAGTCTAAGCCTTCCGTTTGAGCGAAGTTGCCCGAAGACCTGGGCCTCTGTAAGCGAATAACGTGGTGCGCGACTGACTCTGGTCTACCGCCATCATTCGTTCCCGTCTGCTTTGTCTTCGCTCGATACTACCACGCGGTTGTTGCCGATTGGTAGGTTGGCGAGTCACTTCTGTGCAGCCTGCACTCCCAATGAATGTTTTCACTTCTGTCTATTTTCTTCCAGCACCTCCGGGTCGCCTAATATACACAAGCAAGCCACACCTTCCACCATGGCCGTTCGCACTTGCAACAATGGCGCTAGGCGCAATCCCCCCATCGAATGCCATACTCATGTCTTGGGGCTCCTACGTATGTACTCACCGCTTCGGAAAGAAACAATCGTTTTGATGACGAGTGAGTGGCACATCCGTGTGCGGAGCAAAGGTTCAACATCCGGCCCGACCTAAACACCAACAAACCGAAGCAACCAGAACAAGAGCCGCTTGACAGAGCGTTCGTATACCTCTCGCGTCACTAGAACTCGAAAAATCTTCACTTACTTTAAAATAGACAGAGAGAGAGAGCGTTGTCTAAATGCGCGCCCTGAAGAAAGGTTCTGACCACAGCTGCACGTCAAGCGTGAGGCCCACGAAAACACGATCTCCCTCCGCACGTGCACATGCAGCGGAACAGAGGTGTAGGTGTGTTGCTCTGATGTCAGCTCGGGGCCTACTAACTCATCCGTAACCATGATCGAACCGACACACCGACGCCAGCAGGGTGCATCATCTACGAAGAGAAATCAAAGCAACATGAGGAATGAAAGCACGATACGAACAGGACGACAGCAACAGCTATGGCCAGTGCAAAATGCAACCGCGCTACTCAAAATATTGAGAATCTTATGGCCAGTTGCAATGCAACCACACTACAATACTACTTTCGTAAAAAATTGATGACAGGTACCAACGCAACCGCTCCAATCCAAATAGTTGCTATGTGAAATCTTATTGCTGGTAACAAGAAACACATGCAACGGTACCTTCGCAGCCGGACGGGAAGAAGCTACCTACTTGGCTTTGCTTGAGGCTACCGACGAGGAGGAAATTGGGTTGACAAACACAAAAAAAGGGGCAATTTGGCTGGCAACAAGAGAAAAAAAGAGAGGCATCTGGGATGAAAAACTCCAACAACCAGCCAGATGCAACTGCGCTCGAAAAACCTTACTGATACTAACCTACCCATACCAGAGAGGAAATTGGGTTCATAAAAAATACCGGTACTTCGTAAAAAGTAAGGGGTCTCTTTCTTGTACCAGTAGGAAGCAACCTCTTGTTCTTCCATGAGTGGGACGACAAACGCGAGTCGTGCGACAGCTAAGACGGCAACAAATCATCTCTTCCAAAATGCTCAAATATCCTCGTCGTTCCCGAGAACGTTCTTATCGCTGTCGTCGACACCAACGCCTATCCCCACGGCGGCAGCACCCTCCTCTTTCGGCGAAGCCGCTGCCGCTGCTGATGCTGCTGCTGTCGATCCCATATACAAGGGCCCTCTACGGTCGAAGAAATGTCGGAACGTGAAGGTTACGGAACGGCACGTCTGCATCACGACCAGCCCCATCCAGACGTCGAGCAAGGTCGTTTCTCCTCCCCCCAGGTATCCACGGAGCCAGACATACAGCGGCAGCGTGGTCGCGCTTACCACCATCGTTAGCGCCTGCAGAAAAACATCAAATTGACAAAATACCACGGTAAATAGAAAAAAAGAAGGCATCTTTGAGAGTTGGACGCATGTAGCGGGATCGACTTCAGCGGGCAGGGGAGAGCAGGCTTCGGCCCGGCAAAAAGCTAACCCATCCATCTTTGAATGTACGTCTATTTTCACTTGTTCACATTATATTATAGGCAAGTAGGAGGGCGCGAATGAAGCAACCTCCTCCACCAAGGAAACCGGTGATCCCGGCCTTGGTACGCACAGACACACGCCCTTGTGAATTGGAAGGACAAGAATAAAGCGCCATATTCAGGGGAACCCGCGAACGAGACGGGTTGTTTCTCACACCGCGATAAGACGAAAATAGGGACCCTGAACCGATCGAGGAAAGTATGGAATACAGTTTACCATTCCGCGGGTGGGGCCAGTGCGCGCCATGTCGACGTCGCGGGCACGCATGCGCGCAAACCTAGACGGTCCGAATCCCACGCGCCCGAAAAAGGCCGCTTCGATACGAATTTAGGCGCTCTGGCCAGAAGCACCACAGCAGTAGCAGAAACAAAAACCACCACAATAGAACACAGAAAAACATATTTCTTCGCAGCAACAACATAAGATGCAAAAGGCGACCCCGAACAGTGCCGGGCGCTCTTTCTGAGTCCCACTCGAGCTCCCCCCCCTCCCACACACACACAGAAACACCGGAGGAATGATACCTTAGGGATCGATCAATCCAAGCCGAAGAACGAAAACACGGACATGTGCGTCTTACCCGTCGGACTTGCTTGTCGACAACAAACGCGGAGTATTGTCGAAGCCGTCGCAACCCCGTAGTGAGGTTGCAACTGGCCAAGCGGTTCCGGCCAAGCAGATTTCGACGGCAGCAAGCCCGCCTGCAGGACCATGTCTATGGCCTACTTAATGCTGCTCAGGGTGCATCCTTCTTATTTATTCACCGTCTTCTCTGTAGTTCACAACAAGTTCTGAGGCATCATACACATGTGAATACAGCAAAAAAAAAAACTCACCTCGTAGACGAAGTCCTGTGTCCCCTGAAGGATGCCGTCCCCGACAAATACGTAGCTGTTGAGGGGCTGCAAGAGTCCCACAACAGCGATGATCGGAGCGATCGCGGCGATAACCTGCAGAGGGGAGGCCGTATCGTACGCAGTAGCGAGTCATCGCTTCCATTCCTTCTTCTTTGGGATCGAGCCTTTTACACTAGCACCAGCCGTGATAACCGGCTGACCAACCAATAGACGACCGTCTCAATTGCGGTTGCAAACACAAATTGCTTCCACAGTGCATGGTGAGGTGTGTGTGTGTGTGTGTGTGTATGTGTGTGTGTTTTAACTAGCATCGACCGCCATAACCTGCTGACCAATCTGACCAATCAAATGACGTCAATGCGTTCAGCTGAGCAGGGACTACCGCCACCATTGCACATGCGAGGAACAAGATTTTGGGAGGCAAGCAAGACGAGGTCGACACAAACGGTTGTCTGGCAGCAACATCGCGACATTCCAAACACACACACCTCGCCCTCCGTCCCGGCTTTGAAGGGATGCGAGGTCACTGGTCTAATGACTACGGCATGCGATTAGACTACATGAGAATGCCCCCCTTCCACCCGCCGTCCAGATGCGTTACTTGGCGCAAATAAATACCAACATGAGAAATATTCCCCCATAGAGACAATCGAGGCAGCACGCGGCACGAGCCAAATTTTGACGATACATTCGAAAAAACATTTCATAGCCGCAGGAGCAGCAGCAGCAGCAGCAGCAGCAGCAGCAGCAGCAGCAGCAGCAGCAGCAACAACAACAGGAGAAGCAGCAACAGCAGCCTCTTCCCCAAGGAGGTCGGGGCGCACTTCCACGGCAACAACCTTGCCCCCCTCACCTTCTGGTCTGACGTGAAGATGAGCGGCAAGACGCCTCCGAATACCTGGAAGATTACCAGAGTCCCCACCCCCAACCCCAGGCCGAAGACGATGAGCTGCCGCGCGACGGACGCCAAGAGGGGAGCCAAGGCAACGATGGGAGTGTGTGCGCACTCAGAAAAGTGAGAAAGAAATACAAAGGGGGATCAACAGCCTAGGACTGTGGTTATATACACCAAGGGAAGTCTGTCTTTGATCGCATACATATATATATATATTGGTTGGGGGGATCAGCAGCCTACCGGTTCCGTGGCAGGTTATGGGGTGGGGAGCGAAGGACACGCCAACAAGAGGCCAAGCCACGACGAGACAGCCAGAGGGTGAGGTCTCGACTAGGCGCTTCTGTGGCCAAGGGTTAGTACGGAGGATGCGAGTCTAGCCCCTTCCATCCCCAACTCTTCCTTCTCTGCCGTCCTTCCTTCCCCGGGTCGTTGGGATATGGTGGTATATTTCGAGGAATAACTGTTGGTATACTTCAAGGAGAGTTGCAAAGAAGTGGCCATATGTCCCGAGCAAAAGCACGCTACTGCGTGTCCAAAGCCCGCACGTCACGACAGCTATGAAACCGAGCACGGCTCCCTTTCCACCGGGGATCCAAGCACGCAGGCATGTTATGCATGCAGCGGCTGGACAAAAAACACAGCATTTGAAGCCTGCAGCTAATAGAAGCACCACCCCCAAAACTCTCGCAACGGGTACAAAATGCGTCAGTATATACTCAAAAAATTCGGTCAACACAAAGCACACACACATAGATATCAAACCAAAACAAGTACGCTCTTCTCACCCTTCCGGCCACCTCCCTCCCTTCCGCGATCATGCCCCCACCCAGCCGGTCCGCGACGACGCCCTGCGCCGCCACCGCAAGCGAGTCTGCCGCGAAGGCCAGGAGGAGGTACAGCTGGTTACACACCTGTGCCGGTACCGTCGTAGCATCACATAGAGAGAGAGAGAGAGAGAGAGAGAGAGAGAGAGAGAGAGAGAGAGAGAGAGAGA